AGTTGATTATCTGCAATCTGTTACCTTGACATGTTGAACCATTTTAAAGTTTTGATTAAGCACCTGTATTCTGTTATCTTAATGTGCTGGACTGTTTGTTAGTTTGTACAGTTGCTAACCTGTAATCTGTTATCTTGATGTGCTGGACCGTTTGTTAGTTTGTGCAGTTGCTAACCTGTAACATGATGTGCTGGATCATTTGTCAGTTTGGATAGCTGCTTACCTGTAACCTGTTACCTTGATTCGATGTGCTAGATTGTTTGTTAGTTTGTACAGTTGCTAACCTGTTACATGATGTGCTTGATCATTTGTCAGTTTGGATAGCTGCTTACCTGTAACCTTGATTCAATGTGCTAGATTGTTCGTTAGTTTGTACAGTTGCTAACCTGTAACCCATTACATGATGTGCTAGATCATTTGACAGTTTGGATAGCTGCTTACCTGTAACCTTGATTCAATGTGCTAGATTGTTTGTTAGTTTGAGTTGTTGCTTATATGTAACTTGCTATCTTGATGTACTGAAACATATGCTAGTTTGGATGGTTGTTTACTTGTAATCTGGTATCTTAGATACCATTTGTTTTGAATAGTTTCTTACCTGTAACCTGTTATCCTGATGTGCTGGACCATTTTCTGCTATCCTAAGCACAAAGAGAGGCATGTTCTGAAACTCTTTACCACCCCGGATACTGAAGCCAAACCCCCGAGTCCCTCGATGAAGCTCTACGGAATAGTACTGAACATCTTGGTCAGTTGAGTGTTCCTCCCCCTGTTAAGTAAAACATATTTCATTTATTCTAAAGATTTAAAGCTACATGCAAATCACAGTGCAGTCATACAGACCATTGGTTTCCAGCATGTTTGATTATCATACTAATTTTACAGACCAATTACACAACACAAGAAAGGGTATGTAAACTTGGCTCACTACACATTAAGAAAGGTCTGTTGGAATAAAAATTCTCAACATAATCAAGCAATTACATGCCTGTTGTTAGATGAATTCCAAATTGAACACACATGGCTATCAGTGATTAATCATACTATTCTCATCCACTCAACAACTTTCCTATCAACTTCAAGTTTATAAGTTAATGCGTTATTCTAACATTACTAACCAATTACATAAAGAACCTCAGATTATAAACTCATGAGATACCATGCTTTCATTGTTTATATTTTGATACTGAAACATAATGAATATAAAATATCAGTTTAAATATTTGATATTTTAAGACTGTAAATCAGATAAACAAAATGAACTATGTTGAAAAACTGGCATCAACAAAGTTCAGTTTCTTCTAACTACATATGATATAAAAATATCTAGGGTGTTTACCTGAAAGGACTCAAGATAACAACCAGTGAGAGAACAGTTAGAGAAAGCTAACCTATCAGATTGTCACCACCTATGTGCAGCAAAAAGAGATGTGGCCACAGTCTCTAGTTAGGTGCCTTAAATCTGTTCCGACATTAGCACAAAAGAAAGAAAGCACAACAGCAACAACAAGAAATTATTGGTCTTAGTTAACTAAACAGTTAATCAAGGATGAATTAGTCAGACCACACAAGACTGCTGCAAAGTTCAAAAACTATAACAATGGTAACAGGAGTGTAATGCACACCCCATTATTTTTCTAACCACTATCATTGCATCAATTCCCCAAATGCAAGATTAATGAGAATGTTATCTCCATTTAGATGACGTTTTCAAAACATACTGCATTCAAGCAGCCAATAAGTTTTTATAGTGAATACAAGTATTAAGGAACTGTGAAAAAAAAGATCTGTTTGTGTGTGATGTGTATTTCAAATGTACCTAAACATTAATTTATTATCATTACTGCCAGTAATTACAGAATAAAATAAAAAAATTGGATTATCTAGATTATACAGACTAGCAGAATCATCACCCTATGGCCAGCTATTTGTGCTATTAATTACTAATTGTAGTATTAATGCCTCATTTAAGAAAATTGTAAAAAAGTGAACATTTTCTAAAAAAAAAGATTTTTTTCTGGGAAGTACTGCATGGGAAAAGTGTTTGGATTGTGATCTTTAGCCATATGCAATTCATTGCATCAAAATGGTTCAATGCACAAAGCTCAAACTTTTCATAAATTTTACTGATATAAACTGTAATGTTTTTATATATTAAAAGTGGTACCCTTTTTTAAAAAAAAATAGTTTTTTAAGAACTCCAATTTCTCAGTACTACATCAATAAAGATATAATCAAACCCTCAAGTACAGTCCTAGTGAAAGTTGTGTTTATGTCGTGAAGAGAGTACTTTTATTTAAAATTGTGTTCAAATATAAAGAAATGGTTGTTGTACATACCACAACTATTTTTCTAACTGTCTGAATTTTGAATACCCAAAGTATGAAATTTTTTTATGGAATTTTGTTTGTGGTGCCATTTCAATAGATGGTACAGAAGTTTTAGTTACATACATGCTATGTTCATTACAGTAAGAAGATGATTATAAATGTTAGCATTCTCAAAGAAATTATACAATGGTAAATATCAATTTGATCTCTATTTAATGCGATGTATTTTTGTAAGCATATTTTTTAGGATACCAATAATTTCATCTAATGATAAGTAAAGGAAAAACAAAGCTTTTTCTGTGACATTTTCATTTTACCGTTAATAAGTATGTCCAAATCAATGTTAAATACTTTGTTTTTTTTCAAGGATTATTAGTTTCTTTTTACTTTTATTTGAATTCTTGAAAAACATGCAGCAGAAATTTAAGGTTATTTCTGAATGATAAGCAACTACAAGGTCAGTAATAGTCTAAAATTATTTACAGTGCTGGAAATAAATAAAGGGGGACACCTTTAATATTTCCTATGACTAGAATTGAATATTCCAATAATAGAGTCAAGAGTCACGATAACTAGCATTCTTTCCTTCTCAGATGTGCAAGAAGAAACATTCGGCAGCACTGTTTGCAGTGCTTAATATAAGCTTTTTTCCCCTTCAACCAGTTTTTTTTTTCTACTAACAATTTTGTATAAATTAAAAAATATGTATCAAACATTTAAAAAAAGTATCAATATTGAGAAAAAAAAAGTTTATTTTCAGGACTAACTAGAACCAAAGCATATAGACTAAGGATTCGGAGTTCTGACTGTTTCACAGTTCATTAGACAAAAAGAAAAGAAATGTAAGTAAACCCATACCTTGAAAACAAATATTCAAGAACTGTTCTGAAACAGACTTGAAAAGAAAATATATTCTTTTTTTTATCTAGTTTTTTGATAGAGTTAATGGAAAAACATTATGCAAAAGCAAACAAAATTAAAAAAAAGAGACTACCAACAGCTGTGCATGCGTACAGGTAATAATACTTTTTGGTACAGCAATAAGAAGGTATATAGGAGGTACGAAAAAATGATGAAACATGAGAATAACAGACCTGTACTGAGAATCAACAGAAGAGGATGAATGCAGAGTCTGAGTGTCATAAACCCTTTGTGAAAAATCAGGATCAGTCAGTGGGAGCATTGGAACAGCTGTGACATGAAGCAAAGATGTTCTAGAGCTCTGATGCCAGGAAACAAAGCACAGTAGAGAGATGACAACAAGGAAGTTGGTGTGAGAATGTAAAATTATTAGTAAAGTTGTATTAAATATAAAATATATGAAAATGAAAGGTTAGAAAAAGAATAAATGTTGAAGTATTGATAGATAATACTGTTATAGATTTATCTAAATACAAAAGAGAGAGATGATAAGCTTTCTTACTATCAAATCTAATGCATCAGGAAGTCTTAATATACTTTTCAGAAAATAAAACAAACAGTGTTTGAACCTATAGACATGTATTAAATTTGAAATCTGTCATAACATAACTCGGAATGTGATTTATAAAGCCAGTTTCTCAACTTGTATATTTATGCAAGATCATGATTTAATGAACAAACATAATTCCTGTTATGGATCAGTTAACTAATTTTAGTAATAAAAACCAGAATTTAACCCTCTCTGAATGGACATTCTTTACTGATCACAAGGTTTTTAGTGACTTACATTCCAAATATATTTAAACTACTTTTTTGTCCATGTTATACCAATTAGTATAGCATAAAACCATAGTAAATAATCATTATTTTAATACTACATAAGTTTTAAGTTCTTAATTTTATAAGAGAATATTTTTAAAAAATCCTGAATTTCTCCTAATGTGAGAAATGCAACATTTTTTTCTCTAGGCATCCCCCTCTTCTCTAATTTATTCACCACCCCTCCAATAAGTATGAAATTTAATTCAAATTACTCACTATAAAATGGTCATTGCTTAGACAGAGCTTAATTTTATAGCCTTCAATCTTATTTGGTTACAGAGCCATCAAATAAAAAATCAAACCTCTCTTGCTACACCCATCTGTCACATCCTCTCTTTCAGGATTTATTAATAGTTTTCTCTTACATTTAATATAAAATTATTTATAACCAATAGAAAGCCAAGGGTTTCATCTATCACATGATGTATTATATTATTTTCTGAACAGTTTTTAATTTCTCTTTTAGTACATGTTTTGTTCCCATGAGAAACACAGAGTAGCTTGAATGAATTTGTAACAGCTCTTGTCACATAGTTAGACAAATTGTGATAATTATGAGACATTGTCTGCTTTTTGCATGTTTTTATTCTATGTTGTTTGGTGCATTATTTAATTAAATCAAAATTATTTAGTGCACTACTACCATTAGTGTAAAAAAAGTAGGGTTAAATGTCATTGACTGCCGACAGCAAAAAAAAAAGAAAAAGAAGGTCCATGTAAGTTTGGATGTTTTTCATGTGTATTCTTTATTTATTATTATAAAAGTAAATAAAATGTAAAAATAGGAATCTCTAAGTTAGTTAGGTAAATTAGGCAAAATAATAATAATACTATAATAAACATTTTTCACAAGGCATACACACAAGCAACTCAGAGTAGCTTGTGGGTAATGTAATTTGATACCTTACAGTTAGCCCCACTTTCCCCAAGTGACCTACAACTTATAATGAAGCAAATAGCAGTTAGACATGGTTCAAAGGGCAATAAAACAATAAAATTTAAGCATAAATAGATATATATACTGTTAAGAGTTTAAAGCTACTCAGGATAAACAAATGTAGTTTCATGTTACAATTTGAAGTCATTCTAGAAAGAAAAAGGGTAATTTAGATTTATTTTGGTAGATATGAGGTCAGTCCAATTGACCAACCTTGTATAGAGTTATAGTAGAGAAAATAACATGAAATTTTACTGAAAACAAACGTTTGAAATGTATTTAGGAGGTTTTAAGGATTAAGCATTTTTAATCTTAATATGAAAATCTCTTTGCACTTGGACTAATAAAAAAAATAATCAATATATTCACGAACAAATCTGATTTTTTTTGTATAGGAAAGACTTGTAATGTTTACTGAAAGTATGCCAAATTTTGTGAAGGTACACGTACAATATTAAAAGTTTGTAGTATCAGAACTATAACAACTTTAAATGAGTATAAAGTAGTCACGTGGTTGGTCAATCTAACCGAGCCTGTGTAGAGGGAGTTAAAGGAAGACACTGCAGCATAAAGGTATATCTGCAACTTTAGGAAGGCCTAGGTAAGCAGCAATAAAAGCCAATTCTTACAAAAGCTGAGTTGCATACTGATCAAAATAAGGCAAAGAAATTTTAATAATTTGTAAGTTTGCAGTAGTTTTTTAATAAAAAGTTGAAGCAGGACAATTTTATCTTAGCACAACAGTAACAACAAAGCAGCACAACATTTATTTTTCAAATTAAAGGCTTGAAATAAACTTGAAAATGAAATAAAGGAAAATTGTCTCAACAACATACCAAAAAATTTACTCTTTCATACAAGTGACAAATAATTAGTCTTAATTTGGTTTTTCTAATAACTAAATATTTTATAAATAGACAAAATCCTAAATATAGATATGTCACAAAACTCCTTGTGAATATTTAAAGCTTAAAAACTAGTATAATGCTCATATTCTTAAAATGTGATGCAAATGTATCCAATAGAAGTTCAATATTTGTAGCTAACATTCTGCCAAGCATATTTCATTAACACATACTGAACTAATCAAAAATCCCCTAATACATTTAAATAATACTGCTTCCATTATTAATAATAGGCTTCCATCATCTTAGATAACATCTAATAAGCATATAATTTATTTAATTATATATTTTAGCATATATCATAAGCTACATACACTTGATTGATAGAAGAAAAAAATCAAGCTATGTTTAACTAAAACTTTTACTGTTTTTATTAACAAACCTTCCACTATCTGAAGATAGCTTCTACTGAGCACTTCTAATGTATGATGGTCTACTCCACACAAGTCAGTGGTATGTTAAACAATGCAATAAGTACACAGGTGAACAAATTCCATGTACACACACAAAATATTATTTCTTGTAAATGTATAATTAAACTGTTTTTTAGGAACCTTTAAAGCAAAACATAAATTAGCTGACAAAAAATTACATTTTCATCTAAGACAAAGATGATTTATGTAGTAAAATAAAAGTAAATAAATATATCCTAGTTGGGGTGTATATAACTTTTATAGAGAAAGAAAGTGTGTGTGTGTATTAGAAAATCATATCAAAAAAATACCCTATAGAAACAAAAGTTTTGCCCATAAATACATTTTACGTACCCTATGTGAAGTTGATGCTGTGCTGGAAGTGTCATCTGTAAGACAGAGTTAAATCAAACTGACTTTTTTCCTTTTCCTCAAAGCATGTTAAATACAAATAAGTACCAAAAATGAACATTAGTTGGGATTGAGCAACACATTTTATACACTTTTTTAAAAAAAATAAAAACCCATACTAATTTAGAAAATACTAATGGAAGGAAACAAATATATACAGATAAAAAAAGAATAATTTTAGAAGAAAAATAAAAGAGAATCACTCAAATATTTCTTTTGCAACTGAAAGTTTAAGTCAAGTTATCATTACTGTTCAAGAAAATAAAACTTTTCATGATATCTCCACACATAAAGTTGGTAACTACTGCAGGTCTCTGAACTATCTGACAATTTCTATTAACCCTTTCACAATGGGTACCCCCTTTAAACACTTTACTGCACAAGTCAGTGTTAAATTCCAAATTTGATTAAACACCTTTACTATCAATGTATATGAACGAAATTAACATAATGTATGTTATGATTTGAAGTTGTATGTTATCAAAGTTTCAAGTCCTTTATTTCAAAAGAAATCTTTAAAAAAACAACTTAAAATGTCAGATGTATTGTCACGTGACCAACAAGCTAGACTATAAGACATTTACATAACCTTTTGACTCGTACATTTCAAAGTTCTCTGAAAGAATGCAGTTGAAACACGTAATAAATTTTGTCAACCACTGATACATGGCTGCTTGATCAACAATAGCACTTATGGTTATTTCTTACCTAAATATGTTATAGTTAGAGATACAGTTATAATAAATTGTAAAGGACAAGAAAGGAAAGTAAACCATTAAAAGTTAACGATATGTGAAAAGGAAATGATCTGAAATTACGAATATAACCAAAAAATATCTTTAAAGATATTCTACAAAAAAATTAAAAGCTATGTACTTTTTTCTATTTCTTAATTTTAATCATTTCATTGCATTGTACACTGATGATAATAGTTAAGAGTCAGTGATATGGTAGAGAAAATAGAAAATAAAATATAAACATTTACCTTAAAAAACTTTTGATATTCATTTAGGAATTTCTAGAGTTTATGAAAATTATAAGATGAAGTATTTTAATACTGAAAATGAAAATGACCTTACACTCGAACTATTCACAATTTGAGTGCATGTAACTAACTATAGATAAATAACATTTTTAATAGAAAAACATAATTAAAATAATGTCATTCCTTGTGTACAAAATACTTATAAACTTTAACAAAATCTTATGAGTTTTTGTGAGGAATGCTCAGAGTTAACGTACATTTTTACATAAATGTCCTTCCCCAGTCAAGGTAATGCAAAATATGTCAGCCCATGCAGAAAGGGTTAATTGTTGATACATAGCTGATGGAACACTCATTTTAAGTAGCATGATCTAAGGTCCTGTTTTTTTGTCTCAGACAATTACAGAGAATTCAAGTGATGGAGCTCTATATTGGTCAAACCACTGCTAGACGCGGTAGTCATCTATTTCCAAACAATACATTAGATCAAGTACACTACTTACTGCTATCTATCATCAGGAATCAGTTTTTAGACATTACTGTTCAATACATCATTCACTGATCAGAAAATTAAACTTAATAATTTTAGAATTCAGGACAATGTCAAAATCCAATACCTTGAGGAGGACCAATGGTGAGAACAACAGAGTATCCAGAATCTTTAATCAGATTCACAATCTCACCATGATGCATGTTTAAGATGCTTATGCCATTCACAGCTAATATGCGGTCTCCAACATGGAGTTGGACACAACGTTCAGCTGGACTTCCTTCAATAATCCTACCTATAAGAAGTAACGATGCAATTACTGTTTTGACAATGATTTACTTTTCAAAAACAATCTTTTAATGATCTAATTGTATTCTTAAAGAAAGGTTATAAAAACCAATCCATCAGATTCAAATAGCAAAACAAAGGGGAATTTTAGTTAAGGTCAAATACTCAATAAATTATATAATAAAGAATAAGCTGATACATCTAAATGAAAACTTTTTAGTTTATTTTGTGACATTTCAAGCAAACATCCTTCATCAGACAGTAAAGACTGTGTTACAATAGAATTAGGCTCAGAAATAATAGTTTATTTCTGAGCTTAGTTCCATTTTAACACAGTCTTTACTGTCTGATGAAGGGAATCTACTTGAATCGTCACATAAAATGAACTAGTAAAACCTTTCATTTAGACATGTCAGCTTATTCTTTATTATCATTTATCCCAGGTTTTTTTTCAGGTCTTGCAAAACAACACTCATTTAAAAATTTTGGCCAAATACTCGTCAACACTACAATATTAAAAAACAATGTTCAAGTAAGCATTATACACACACACACATGTTTGTAGTTAAAGGTGTGCAGTCTCAGAAATATGAAAGATATTAAAAACAAATTACAAATAAAACTTATATCAATATCTCAAAAAAGTGTACAATATCACAGTTAAAGCCTCCTCTCCAGTTTTACTATATTTCCAGTGGTCTACCAGCATATAACTCCCATAAGCACTGGACCATCCTGTTGTTGTAGAATATTTGGTACCCAAGCAGTGAAAGCAAGTTTTTCTCTGGGCACTCTGGTTTTTCCCACCCATAACTGAAATGTGGCATAAGGTCACAGCCTACGCTGCCCTGAAAAGGTACCATTCATTAAATTTCAACTCAAACTCAAGTTTCCCATCCCACCATAACCTCATGTTGATCCACTAGATCTCTCTTCCACCCCTCAGGTATACTTGGTCACAGTTTGAACCCCGAACTCATCGCTCGAAGATCCAGCCTTGCTCCAATTCCCTTCTCTTCACTACAGGCAGCCTCAATGACATTACCAAGCTTCTTCACAACAATGATTTACTCCCCACGCCTACTGACCACGTCATAACACCATCAAGTGCTCTCACTCCCTTCTTGTCTTCAACTCGGCACACTTGACCACATAGAAACTGCCATGAGTAAAACAAATACCCATTTGGCTCAGATGTCGTAAGCCAATTCATCATGAATGTTCTATGATTCAAAATTTTCACTTTTCTTTAAACACACATGGGGAGAAGAGAAACAAGAGTATCTGAATGACTCAGGTTGGCTTTCAGGCTTTTCTTTGTTAAATCCTAAAAGTCTTTCAAACCTAAATTTCTGTCAATTAAAAGTAAAGTACTATGTTCCCAAATTTTGTTTGTAATTCAAGAGTTAACTATCTTGAAAAAAGGCCTTTACGTAAACCTTACAACTTTAACCTATATGTTATAACACAATATTTAATTAGTGAAATACAACAAACTTTTTAATACAGAATAACAGAACTTTCAAAAACAAATTCTAATATTTGAAAACTAACCCTCATTATTTTCAAAACAAAATAAATAAAATAATTATACACTGCTTACAGTGAAAGTAAAGTATTTTATGTTTACTCTTAAATTTGCATTTTACACAGAGGATATACAACTTAACTAATGTTAACTCTACTTTGCTCATAAATAACATAAGGCCTAAATACCATTAACAATGCTAACAGAGGATATATTGCCATCTACTGTTAACCTTATCTGTATTACATGGGAGTGAAAATGTATATATTCTTAGCCATGCAATGCTCACAGAAGACTAAAAGCCTGTCAATCATTAACTCTGTCTTGTTTAAAAGGAAACAAACCCTACCTATTGTTGATCCTGCTTTGCTAACTGAAGATATTATGACAAATCCAAATCCTTCATTCTCCTTTCTTTTCACTGTTATGTCATATGGATATATGTTTTCAGTTGATTTGTGGTGGTTTAAGGGATCTGACAGAAAAAAAAGATAAAAATACAAATTACATCATATGTATATTCACATTCACTTAGCATCAGAACATCATAGATCAACATTAAACAATAAAAATGCAGTTTTGTTCTATTGCAACAAAATATTGATAAACTACTGTATTAACAACAAAGTGACAACATTTCCATACCATGATCAGATCAGTTGTTTGTCTTGTTTTTAAAATAAATTTGACCTGATCAATTTATTAATTTAATAAAATCAATGCAAGAACAAACAGCACACCAACATCTCTTAATTTATGATAAAATAACTCTGCTGGTTGAATTTGATTTTGAGACAAATTTAATGTAGATTAACAATTAATTGAATACTTGGGTAAAGATAAGTTTGTTTGTTTGCAAATGTAGCTTGTGTAACATGACAATCAATTTTTATAATCATTCATTATTGTCATCCAGGTGGTGTCCTGAGTAAATCCCAGACCTTAACTTTAACTGAAAGATATAGGAGTCAGAATCTCAGATTGTACAAGTTACATGCAGGTCATTCTAATTGGTTGTTGTTTGTGTTTTATGGAAATGTATGGTTAAATGTGCCAGTTCTAGCAGTTAAAGTGGTTTTCAAAATGGTAACAAGCTTATTCAGTCAAACACTTTTATACCACCATTACTTAAACCAACGTGCAGCAAATAAAACCATAAATTTACCTATTTCACTTGCATCAACATTAAAGCTAAATTCATAATTATTTATATTTCACATAATACATCCAATTGTTGTTATTGATATACATGCACAATTAATGCATCATTTTTCCAATAAAAGTGTAATTAAAATACGATTGTTGAGACTGATAAACATCTTGGGCAATTTATGACAAACAGCTTTGACCTCTTTATACTTTTTCACATATGTGTGCCCTACTTTAGATTAAAAGCCCATAGATTAATTCTAAATTTAGAAAAAAAAATTTAACCTGTTACAGTAATGTTTACAATAAAACACTAATAATGAAAAAAAAACAGTTACTGTATTTTCAGTTTTAAGAAAAAAGTACACACTGGTAAAAGTATAGATTAATTTCTAATTTTTAACTGCAAGTATTACCTTATGTCAAATTTTTACCATTTTACAATACTTAGGACAAAAATTGTTTAGAGGGCTTTTTGCAAAGTTTACACTGAAGTCTTCACAAATAAACATACATTATGTATAAATAAGTACTTTATATCAAAATCAATTTTTCTGCATGTATGCTAATAGTGAAAAGCTGTACTTGCTTTTCAAAATATTCATACTTAAATTGGGATTTTATAAATATGTGAAGTTCCACAAATTCTCATATTTGGACATCACTCTAAATATTCTTCAACTATTATGTGATAAGTAATTCCAAAAATTTGAAAAAATAAGGAAGATGTAGGGGACTGAAATGTCAAAAAGTACAGAAACAAGGTATGGATGAATACACAAAACCATACACAAATCCCTACAAGCATAGCAAGATCTTTCCAAGAAAAACTTTTATCTACAACTATACGTTGAATTCCTTTCATTTGCATGAATTCAGGTTTGATTTAAAGCATTTAAACTGAATAATAATGCTATAAAGTTTTATAATGGCTAATTATCATATGCTTGTACATAGACTCAGTGACTACTTATGTAGGGATTTTTGTATGTTTTTGTGTACTTTCTTGTTTCTGTACTTTTTTGGCACTTCCATCCCTACATCATCCTTTTTTTATTACTTTTTTCTCGTCTTTTTTAAACAATACCAATGAATATTTTATAATCAAAGCCCACTACTATGAAGGCAGCAGTTTTAGCCTGAAATGATGAGTTGTCTTGATGGATATCATGTGTTGAAGTTAGTGAAATGTTACAATACTTTTGCACTCCCAAAGTTAAGATGCAACATTTTGGTGTGTAAATCATGGTAACAACTTCAAGCTTTGTTGAGCTAGCCCTTCTGATACCAGAATCAGAAAAAATCAGCAGAACATTTGGCTGTTACACTATTCGCAGGTTCTCTACTTAAGTGACGTTTTATAGCTAAACTCAAGGTCTTAATAGCTTTTGAAAACCTAGTAGGTGTTTATATAAGTCTCTTACATTTTTTATAAGAAAAATTTGAGACTATGATGAGCAATGAATAATATGCAACTGCCATTTTTTTACCAGCCCATCCCTACATACTAAGCACTTCCGTGCTTAGTGATAAAGGTGCAAAACTAAAAATGATACTTATATTTTATATTGAAGTGATTGAGTTAAACCTTACTGCTATTCTTGATCATATTTATTTGTATAATTGAAATGCAATATTATATTTATATATTTTCGCGATACAAACAAAACATATGGATAATTCAAATATAATATTTGGCTAAGAGTTAAAATACTACATCAGATGAGTTTATTTTAATGCTTTAAAAAACATGCTAATATTGTATGGTTTTGTGTTTCCAATATCAAATTGGCTTTATGATGAAATTATGTAGAAAATCATATTTCTTCCTTCACAAGTACAAGGTGTAAAGCTTTTCTGGTATTATCCTGAGTCCAAGAAATATTTGGAACCAATTTTAAACTTTAGTCAACAACAACAAAATATATATATATATATTCTATCAATATTAAGAATAATAGAATTGCAAACAATATAAAACTTGAATTAATTTTATCCTCAGAATTAAACAATATCATACCTAAAGACGAGTGTCTTCTTCTCAGCCCTAATGTTACCCTGCCATTTAGTGCAGCATTCCCCATTAACTGAACTACATGATGATGTGACGTATTAAGGACTACTTGGTTGTCAACAGAGACTATTTCATCACCTGAACGAAGTCGTCCATCTAGATCTGCTGCTCCACCTGGTACAATATGACCAATAGATACCTACACAGTGAAATAACATAATTCAATTTATGTCACAGCTGAATGTTTCAATAGCTGAAATTCAATTAGAGTCACTTGCTTTGTATGAGACCTCTAACACAACATTTTCATAAAAAATAAAACATTTGGCTCTATGAGTATTCATGCTGTTCCATACAAATACATAATGGTCTAATAAATGGATTTCTCTGTGATCATATTGTTGAAACAGGCAATGGGAAACAGTTGCCATTTTACACTAGATGGATTAAGAAAAGACTGAAAGGGGGAAAAGTGTGCTTTGAACATAACAGTCTTATGATGGAGCTTTTTTGCAATGGAAACTATGATGCAGGATTATTTTCAAGATGTAAATTTGTCAGATAGTGAGTTAAATTACCCGATGTGGTGATATGGATTGTAATGATGTGATGATGCTCCAATATTATTTTGATATAATGTATTCAATATGTGAATGATATAATGTATTTTACGTTCAAAGTTTAATCTCTGTTACTCCAGAGATTTCTATACCATATCATGGTAGTTAAAAAAAATAAATCTTTAACAAGATTTCACAATTCTAACATTATACAAGTAGCTTTTTTAAACAAATATCCATCTGTGAAAACAGTTTTCATTCTGCATATTTATAAAAACTCATTCGTTAGTGATTAAACTTATAAGAAAAACTTTGTATTCATAATAAAGATGATCACAGCTAGCACAACACCCTACCCAATATTTTCACACAATACAGCTAAAATACTGCTACGAAAAAAACTTTAGTCAATACACATTCAGATGTCCAATTACAAACATTGTAACATATTTCTATTCACATATATAACTAATCTCTGAATAGTATTTGTTTGTATTGATCTAGCAGTAACTTTATGCTAAGATGAGTGCACTTTGAACCTGAGAACAGTCTTTGCAATGGAAATTACACTGCAGTCCAAGATGCTTGCTATGATTTGACATATGAAAGCAATCATTAGCACAAAATATAGTGATATAAATATATACACAAAATATAAGGGTGGGGGTCACTGACAATCTCTACTGAAAAATGGTTAAAAGGCAGCAAACTAAAAAGGCCCTCTGAATTTAATACAATTACATAGTTACAGCTTTTTTAGCATAATCTACAAATGACAGCATAATCAGTGGGTAACCACATGATAAAAGTCTAAATTTCTGGACTTAGTAAAGTCAAGATCAGTATCAAATTTCTAGCTTTTGAGTTAGTTTGTTTCTTGTTGCTTGACAAATGGTGCCTGCCAGTCAGAAAGTCTGACTAATGCTTTTCAAAGAGACTTCTGAAGCCAAAGGGTGTAACATCTTTTGTTATATATTAAAAATAAGTGTTAAATCACTATTGGTTGTGTAATTGTCTTAATTATGTCTAACATCTTAAATGTAACTGAAATGAGAATACAGACAACACATTTTGAAAAATATTTTGATCTGAAAATGTTAACAATTACATTTTGTCATAACACAAGAGTGGTAGATCATCACTGATCAGCATCATGTCAAACCAATGTGTTAATTTTTAGTTGCTAATAGCCTTTTGAAGATATAAATTCAATACTAAATATCGTAAATAACTAATAAAATTCAAATTTTTGATAAACCTCTCCCCTATGATAAATTTGTTTGTTTCCTTTAGATGCTCCTAATTATTAGGTTAGAAAAGGTTAGCTATTGGAAAAAAAAAATCAGGTTTTGCATTATGTGGTGCAATACAGTTACTGGAATTACACGTGTGATTTATAGCTAGTATAGAGATATTATTAGTTAGTCACAGTTCAAAAGACAATAAAGCAAAACTAAGAAGAAACAGATGTTTGTTTGTTTGTTTTTTTGAATTTCACGCAAAACTTCATGAGGGCCATCTGCACTAGCCATCCCTAATTTAGCAGTGTAAGACTAGAGGGAAGGCAGCTAGTCATCACCACCCACTGCCAACTCTTAGGCTACTCTTTTACCAACAAATAGTAGGATTGACCATCACATTATAATGCCCCCACGGCTGAAAGGGTGAGCATGTTTAGTGGGACAGAGATTCGAACCCGCAACCCTCGGATTGCGAGTCAAGGGCCCTAACAACCTGGCCATGCTGTGCCCAGAAACAGATGTAAACTGTTACGAGCCTTAAGCTGTTTAGGACAAACAACTAATTTTCTGTTACAATTTGCAGTCAATCTAGAAAAACAAAAGGGAAATTAGATTTATTTTTTGTGTTGGTTACAAGGGCAATCAAATCTGCATAATTAGGGAAGAGAAAATAAATAAAATATAAAGTTTACTAAAAAAAAAACGTTTGAGATTCATTTAGAATGTTTTATAGGTTATGCAAATGAAATTTGAAAACTGTAGGAGGAAAGTACTTTTGATCTTAACATGAAAATCACCTTGCACTCGGATTACATATATTCAGGGACAAATCTTTTGTACAAAATACTTAATTAAAATATCTGATTTTAGGTGTACATAAGACTTGTAATGTTTACTAAAAGCTTACCAAATTTCATGAAGATACATATACCATATTAAAAGTTATAGTATGGATACTTTCACAGTTACCTGGTGGTTACAAGGTTGGTCAAAATGACCGAGCCTGTATCAAGAGAGTTAATCAAATTATGATTAATTCAGTTAATGTCACAAAAAATAATCAACTAATTGAAATTAGTATTTCTGATTATTCAAACAATCCAAGTAATCAAAATATTGTCATTATGCTTATTTGTTGTTAAATATAAAGATACATAATAGGCTAACTGTGCTCTACCTCAGTTTCAGCATTATAAGCTTTTTTATTTCAAGTTTATTCAGCTTTGTACCAGTATGGCTTTGTGATTCAAAGATCATGGGTTCAATTCCCACTGCCACCAAATTTGCTTGTCATGCCTTTATTGTGACAAAGATACTGTCATCAATTTTGAGCTGCTGACTTCATTCCCTCAATTAATTGAATAGCAAATACCACTAATTGCCCAGCTCCACCCATATACCAACAGTGTGAAGTCAGATTCTGTGACAATGAAATGCAAACCACGGACCCTCAGATTTACAGTAGCCAATGCTAACGATCAAGCATCATTAGCTCTAGTTGGCTCCCAAGATAAGAACAAGTGCAAATGAGGAATGTGACATTCTATGAATTGGTACACAGACCTATTTAGCCAGCTCTAAAGTATCCAAGGGCTAATAAAAACATTAATAATCATAAACTTCTCTAAAAATCCATCAACATTATACACACATACTTGTCAGGGCACATCAAAACCTGCAATAAGCAACAGTTTGTACAAGATAAAGTATGCAAGTATGAAAAATAAAGTTCATTAGAATATTCTGTTCAACTGCTCATTTAGAAAGAATATTGGTTTATTAATTTACAATTCTGATATTTCTTTCCATATATCTATCCCACTGAGAAAAATAACCTTATAAAGCAAATAGTAATTTTATCATTTTATCATTAAGAGTATAATGGAGATTTAACAATGAAATAATGGATTTCAAATTACAAATTATTTAAACTTACCTGTGAACCTTCTTCTGTCCCTCCAACAATACGGAAACCAAAACCACTTTCTTGCCTCACAAGTGTTACAGTCATTTCTAGACAATCAGGGGTCCGGCCAACTGGTGGTGGTCTTGGACCCATTGTGCCATATGGGTTAGGACTGAGGCTACTATTGGTGGACCTGGAATCTCTTGGTACGTGATTCAATGAGACAGCTGCAGGCTGCTCGTGTTCAAAAGACGTACTGTGTTTCCGTCGAGTCAGACTGTCATACTGAGAGCCTGCTCTAGAGTTATTTGGTGCAATGTAGTAGGAAGATGGAGGAGTTAAGTAGACAGAACTCATTTCATTACCAGAAGGAGTCTGTAAAGGGTCATGTGGGCTAATTCCAGGTGGTAATTCTCCTGAAATATTTCCATTGCTTGGATACAAAGTTCTACTGTAACCATGGCTAGTACCATATGGAGAATAACCCAAACCCCCTCTGTTATTATTTGATTTACTGTGGTTAAGTACAGAATTGAGATCCTGATTGTCTCTATAAGAGTCTTCTATATCACCATAACCATGAAGGTAGCCTATGTTAGTTCTAGTATTATATGGCAAAGCAGAGAAAGACTCATTCTCTGTTCTTTCACTTCGAGTACCAGGACTATGAGAATAAATGGGATTTCTGAAAGCTGGCCCCATATCTCTGTACAGATCTCCACTGACACGGGATGTATACCCATAAAGCATTTCCTGTTTTCTGTCTCCCTCACTTGTATTCATGCCTGAACCTCCAGACTCCCTGAAGCTGTGATAGTTCCAAAGTGGTTCTCGACTCTGGTCACTATACCAAGACTTCTCAGGAATAGCCCTAGATGAGCCACTCTGATCCATGACTTTTAACAACCCTGAGTAAGATTCATTTCTACCAAAAGAAGTATTACTTGTATCACCAATCCCTCTCACATTTGGCACATTTCCTGAACCAGTGGAGGGTAACCTGGAGGATTCTTGCTGGGATGAAGATATTTCACTGCTTGGTGATCTAATCCAGTTCCTGGTATCAACTAGTGGAGTTTTTGGTCGGTTAACTGAGATGGCTTCTTTGTCTCTGGAACTGTAGAGGTCAGCTGTTGGAGTTTTACTTCGATATGCTCCAGGAATAGAAGGAAGATGGCCTTCTATATGGAAACAATATGACTTAACTAAATCGATTTGTTTAAAGTAAATTAATTTTTACCACAGGTTACGAAAGAAACATCTGATAAATATATTAGCACAACCTTTTGTCTTTCATAACAATATCATGTATTTTCAAAATTTATTAATTTTTTGCAAGTCTGCACCATTTATCTAAATAAATATTCTAAACTGTAAGCATAATTTACCTTTGTTTTATACTTAATAATTATTACTGATTATTAGAGGTGCTTCCTTTTAATTACAGGCCATTCAACAGCTAGTTTATGAGCACAGTTGTGTATATCAGTTACAAAATAAGCAGTATGTTTGGGGGTTAATCTTATGAAAAATATAAGCATATGGATTTATAACTGAAATATAGGTTGTTTAGACCAAGAAAATGTGTAACAGACTGCTGTGTTAATGAGAGATTAGCAAAAACAAAAAAAAGGGAGTACATTTTAAGGTAATTATGCAGAATAAGCTAGCTGAGAGTGGTTTTACTTGGTTCTTTCCGATCACATCATTAAATATGTTTAAAGAAAGTATCAAAAATCAAGAGTAATGACAGCTATATGACAGAAACTTTATACCAAGTGGTTCCTAACTCCAATTTTGAATACCTTCATCTTGAAACACCAGATTAATAGACACAGTTGCTTACAAAACATTATTATGATACAAGTATCTGAAAAACCTTAGGGTATGATAAATTTTTGGAAGCTTTTTTCTTAATGATGTTAATTCTGAAAACTATGTCTTAAATCTACAGCTTATGGATATGTTATAACAATTTATTTCATACAATACTGTAATGTTACAATGACTTTAAACTATTTTTGTGTTGAATTTATTAAATAATTTGTAAATTATAAGTGGTACTTATAACTAAAAAAAGGGTAGCTGTATTTACATGCAACAATTTATTCAAAACTATTTCTTGTGTAATATCTGTGCCAATCAGAATTTATAACTAATTAATATGGTGTTTGTCTGTTTATTATGAAAGTCAAAAATATTATGTATTTGTCAGAATGTATTAATCAGGTCCACAATGGATCCAAATACAAAAATCAGAAAGTTTGCAGACCAGTCTCTTATTTCAATGTTTTATGCTAAATACTAGGTTGTTATTATGATTTTTAAATAAAATCATTTAAACTATGTTGCTTTCAGTTGAAAATAAATCATGATATAGTTCTGAGCTCAAAGAATAGCTCTACATCTTGCATGAATTATAGAAAAATAGTGGGCTAGGCATGGTCTAGTGATTAGCATGCCTGAACTGTGGTTCACATCCTGTTACATTAAAAATGCACTTTACCCTTTGAGGTCATGAGTGTGTTACATTAAAATCCCACAATTTGGTCAGACAAGTAGCCTAAAACTGGCAGTCTATCAGTTCAAAATTATTAACAGGTACTATGTGCATATAGCTCTTATGTAACTTTGCACAAAAACTGTAAAACATATAGAAACAGCAGCTCAAACCCACATAACAGCAAATAATTTTCTTGTATTTTAAGATATTTTACTCCTTGAAAATAAAGAATTGTTCCCAAAATACACATAATGAATTATAATCTAATTGTCCAATTTCACGTATGTTAAATATCCTGTCAGTATATTTCTTGTGAAATGAAATGAATTTTAATATACCTCTTACAGCTACATGTTCCAATATCCCATTCATTCATATGTCAATGATGTAAATACTGAGAAAGATATGTCGTGTTATAATTTCAGGTACAACTGCCAGATTCTGTATGCAACCATGATACATAAGTGAAAGCCAAAACATTTCTAACTTTACAACCAACCAGAAAAATTACTATTTAAGATCTTGAAACTTCTACTCAAAGATATTCAATAAATAAATATAAATGTTTCATATGCAAAGCTCAAGTTTACTCCCTAGTAATTATTATTATTTTTCTGAATATAAGAAACAGTTGATAAAGAACTCAGTCATTTTCTTTAATCCTAAGAATAAACAGCAAAAGATAGTTATATATTCACTTTACCATACATTTAAAACGATGTTAGGCTATACAACATTTACAAAAATGTTACTCATCATTTCATGTTTGAATTTTTAGTTTTTTGAATAACTCAAAGTCTGATGATCTTTATTTTAATTGAGTACCTAGAAACTACATTAGTTAATTAGAAATAGTTTACAAAACTGAATTACGTGAAGAATTAGCATGCATGGAGTGAGAGGCAGGGCTAGTTGTTGATTTTCGAATGCCACTTGGATCATCAGGGGACTTTATCTGTTCAAAAGACAAGATTAACGAGTTAAAATAAATTCTATATAAAAAAAAAACAGCAACATCAGAACATAGTTAAGTAGAGAATGTTAACTACAAAAACTATTGTATACCTGACTTCTGAATATACAATCAACAATACATTAAGGTTCCCCTAACCTTTACTCATAAAATTACAGTTAATACAATATAAAAATGATGACGACGATACTGTTAACAGTAAATTTTTTACCTTTGATGCCTTCCCCTTTCCCTTAATAGGTGAGGCAATCCCTCCTCGCTGCATAGTGATGCGAGCCTGATCCCCACTGGGACACTCTTTCAGTACTTGCACTACATCAGCATGAGAAAGTCCACGAACATCCAGATTGTTAATTTCAACTAAAATGTCACCTTCTTGTAACAGCTGACATCGTGGCCAATCCAGAATTTTTTTAACCTGATATACCAAATACAAATTTTGATAAACTTTAAAAGTCAAAATAGAATATATTATATATTTCACACTAAACTTTAAAAGATTATATGAAAAACCTACTAGTCAGCATACTCTACACTATAAATATTTTTTAAATGATATACAAGATACAAAGTTAGCAAAAACCTACATACAGAAAACATTACACACTAAATTTTCTTAGTGATATAGAACTTGCATCATTACAAGAAAAACTTTACACATACGCATATTATATACTACATAGAGGAACAGGATTAGTTAAAATTCACAAGCTTAATACATTATAGATTACACATTTTTAAATAAATCAACTAAGGAATAACTTAAAATTGACAGGTTGAATATAAACAGCTATAACAGTTTTTAATAACACAATCTTACATTTTACAATGCAACTTTCAAAATTCAAATCACAATTATATTTTTTAATATTAATCAATACAATTACATAAGAATGTAATTCATAATTTCAATTTTCATTTCTTAGTTTCAAATGAATATATTTAAAAAATTCTCAATCTTCATTTTAATTGTCATGTGACACGTGAGTGCAATGGGGGTCTGCGATTCTGTATTCTGAAAAGCAGAAAGACCCCAATTGTAGAAATAACAGGTCAGTAGGGAT